ATAATTTTTTACTCGTTGAAACAAATACGGTTAAAAATCCCGCTTTGGGCGAATCGCCGATGTTTTTGTTCGGGCGTTTAATTCAGACGTTTAAGTCTTCCTCATCCCTCTTACCAAAAAAAAAGTTTCTTTATGGTTTGCGTTCATCAATGTATACTTGTATAAATTGTTAAAACGATCCTCAATATTATGTATATTGTTAAATTAAGTTTTCACTTCTTAACTAACTTTATGTAACTGTTTAAATGTTGAATGAGGCGTTTATGATAAAACTTCTGTGGCTACACGTTTTACTTAGTTTGTATGCTTTGATTCGGAAAACGGAGTATTAAATACTTAACGCAATGTACTGAAAAACTTACATGCCTTTGAAATTTCCGAGTATCTATATTATCAAAGACCAGATTTGTAGTAGAACGACCGAAAATCGATTATTATTATTATTAGGTATTGTAAATTGCTTCAACAGTTAAAAATCAAAAAAACAAACATTTAAATTGTGTATACATACATAATTTTTTTGTAAATGTACAATAATCATCGACGTAACCGACGTTGGTACAATTAACATAATACTAGTGACGGCTAGCAATTCGCAATTAGAGAACTGAGCTAATAAAATGCAAATCCAAAATTCCCGAGGCGCACTACCAACGGTGTATAGTATTATGTGGCATCCGAAAACAGCCTTTGGTTAACTGAACATTGATTTCGAGCAATTTCACCGTACACCGGGGAAATATCTCTAGGTAACGCGAAAATAGCAACTTGTTCAATTATTACTTTTGTGAAAAGTTTTAATGAAAATTCAAGTCGAACGTGTGCCGCGGCGGTATTTGTTAAAGTGAAACATATACGACTCAATTGGTTAAGTACTATACATAACTATAGTTAATTTGTATTCCCAGCTCTAAATTCTATACTCGGCCAAACGGCGAGTCGTGTTGATTTACTATATTGCTGTAGTATTTTATGTTATGAACCGCAAAAACGTCGTATAACCAAACCCAGAACACCATAGAAGTATTTATACACTGAATATAATCCGTTCACGGTTATAACTGAGTGTTGAAAGAGTAAAGCCAGTTTTAACCACAAAAACGACAAAATATAATAATAATAATATGTAGATCGGCGTTGTAAAACTTTATCGAGCGTTAAGATACAAAAAAAAAAAAAAACGGCCAATAAAAGAGCGATTCTTGTGGTTTATTTACTGTTTTTTATTTTCCTCGAAAATACAAATACTTTGGCGGGAAATTCGATTAAATAACATTTAAAAAAAACGAAGCTGAACAACGCACCCGACAAGTCGATAAACAATAGTGTATAGGGCGCCAACCTAAAAGAATTTTCCGGACCGTTCGCCACAAGGAATTTTAATTCTTCTAATTATTATCGACATACTGCTATTATATATTATTATACAGAGGCTGATATGCGTGTGCACATCGGAAAACAGAGGCTATAATCAATGATTCGGCCGGGCTTTGTGTGTGCATGCCCAGTGGACCGTTAAAAGTTCACAATCCTTCGGTAATTTGCCGGAATCCAACGGGCAGGTAAAGGTGTGCTAACCGCCAAGACACCACCGGCCTAGGCCGAACGTTCTAATTACTGGCCGAGTCCGACCTACGCCAAACAAATACCGGCTAAACTAAATCCGATACCTACTCGTTGTTGGAAAACCTTGTTAGCTGAAATCCGAACCCCAACAAATTATGCACCGCCAGTTTTCTCCGAGTTCGAGTAGTATTCCACAACTGCACAATGTCGAATAAACGCATGACAGTTTCGAGCCCGCCCAAAAGAAATACTCGCCCTTGTCTTGATCATCTCCCCAGAAGTGTTGTTAGTTTAATTTTTCCAATCATTCCCAACACTAGTGGTCGGCACACACCACGAATTACGAACGATAAAAACACGTTTCTGGATAGGTTGAGGGTCAACTTTCGGTATCGTCTAAAAAGGATCCGCATGATGACAGCATTGGACAAGGCATGTAAAGCTACATGTAATGATGATAATAGTGATTTATGTTCAAACTTAGAATATTGGGTTAGTACAAAATATTCAGTAGATCCATTTGACGTTTAAAACTTGTTTCGAAGTGGTTATCGATCAGTTATAACATTTACAGTGGAGTATAATTCGTTCAAAAGTCAACACAATACTACACGGGTTCCTATGTACTCATTTAACTTTGATAAATGCAATAACCAAATGAAATGAAATAAAAGGCGATAGACATTTTCAAAGTTCTTTTTTAAACATTTAATTCAATTTTTATGTTACTTCTTGAAGTAAACATTTGTATTATATAATTCGAGCTATCACGTCGTACTAGTGAAAATCGTATCAATATATTACTTGACGTTGCGCATTTTAAATGTAAATCCGTTTTGTATTTTTAAACCCGAAAAGCCAATATGGGGTTTTATTTAATCTTGCTGAAATAATTAGTGTGCGGTCAAAATAAACGACCTAATTTAGCTAAGCCAGAGTATTGTCGAATTTAATTGCACGTGTATGTTCCAATAATATAAATCACTGTACATCCGACGACTACGTGCATCGTTCGACACGGTGGAAACACAATTAAATATTTATTTTATCTCTATCACAAAAATATCTTCATTAGAAAATATAATATACATTTGATTGGTTCATCTTACTCTTGCAAATCATTTGTCGTGTAAACCAATGTTTTATTATAAATATAATATTAGGTTTCTTTCAACCATTAGTTAGGGTGTACTCGTGTACATTGCGTTCTAATTGTATAAATACAAGTCTAAACCCCGTAATACACTGTTAGTAACCTTATCGCATAAATTGTTGTAATTCTTTGATACAAATAAGCTTTTACTGGCAGTACAAAAAAAGCGAACGTGCAGTAAAACAACAACAAAACCGTACTCTTTCTCTTTTACCAATAAATAACTGATGATTTATACGCGGCTCGAGCAGTAAAGAGTCTTGGGATTTTCATCGTTAACTTTTCATTATTTTCTAGTTTATCCGAGCCAAAGTATATAAGCAAATATTTTCTTCCACCGTTTTTTTTTTTTTTTGGCTCTCGAAATACCACACATTTATTATGTGTGCGGCAGCGTCATATCGTTTCCACCCTTGCATTAATCCCCAATGCCTTTCCCAACCCGTTTTTAACATCGCTTTTATTAGGTAGTCGGAGAAAATTGCCTCTCGTTTATCCGGCAAAGTCATTAGTCCCTTCCGACAAACCGACTTGAGGGCAAGGTTCGAACGGGGAAAACGCTTTGTGTATATATATTTATGTATATACAATAAAAAACAAGGTTTTAGCCGAATTGTTTTTAAAAAATTATTACTGCTCTCTCCGTACGCTAATTAAGAAGTTTTTTTTTTATTGTTTTTAAAAGAAAACAAGGGTAAAACAAAAAATAATAAAAAAACCTTTTGTCTTTTTCGTTGCACGCTCTTTGCAAACACTCACTCGCTTGTCTTCCGGGCCCGTGTTAATAAATATTATTGCCGCAAAGGTCGGGGATAATTGCAATTTTTATAGCTTATGTCGCATTGTTTTTAATCCACTTACCCCAAGACTAATGATTACGACCTCTATATATTTTCCACCGAGCGACGATCCATTATTTGGGTTCCGCCGATAGGTTTTTGTAATTTATCGGCACTGTTGCATTTGTCATTTTGGCGGGTCAGTCGTTTCCGGTCAACGTATACCCAACTAAATTGCAATTGGCCAATTGCAATGACACGGTTTAAGATTTAATACGGTACGCCGACGAACAGCTGCAGATAAATCATAAGTGCTCGTAGATCGCAGCTTGACAAGCTTATTGGCCCTTAACTATAACTATTTACTTAATGCTTATTGATGACGTTTGTTTTTTTTACTTCCAAGCTGAATTGTTATAACACAAAGTCTACATCTAAAATACATACTGTAACTTACAAACGGAAATTCTCCTAAAATTATGCGAAAAGCAGTTATTCATAATAAAAAAATATTTATTTTCACATAACAATAATTATGTAATTCCACACAGCAATTTGGAAATATTAAATATCTAAATGAGGTTTGGTGTAAATTATGTTTTTATCGTTTTGAAAATAATCCGTGCATAATTCCTAAATTTATAATAGAATTTTTGCCAAAAGATTTTGTAGAAAATAGCTACTGACAATATTAAAAGTATTATGAAATATTACAAAATATGTTTTAAGCGTATTATTGCTGTATGTAATATAAATTTTTGGACCAATGCATATTTCCCAAGTATTTTCTGAAAATGTACTGTAACGTCGAAAAAAGACTCTTACATGTAACATTTGCGAATTTTCCTAATTCCAGTGAACTAGTAAGGAATAAGAAAAAAGAACAATTACACGAAACAACATACCACCGTCATCTTAATAATTACTCTCTCACTACCTAGTTATTATTTAAAATGAGCGGAAAAACTTCATCACATTTTTATCTGAAATTATATGTTAATAACATATTGTTGACTCTTTCATTCTTTTATTTTTCTAGAAGGACGTCTTAAACATATTATATAGTGGTAGGCGCTAAACACAGTGACAGTCTGCAACTGAAGTCAAGTGGCTTCTTGAGAAAAATTATAATGCACTTTCTTGTTAGTGAAATATTATAATTTCATTAAATTATACGAATATTTGTGGCGACATCGCATAAGAAATGAAATACGGCGACACAGCCATTTCCTGAAACGGGATAATATTTGTGGAAAATAGTATAATATACTTTATTATATTGTGTATAATATCGCATTTGTAACGTAAATGAATTATGGGCTGTTATTTTGTTATCCAGTAATGACCAATACCGTAAAAAGTAAAAACCCACGTGTTCCTATTTAAGTGTAATACACAACTAAAACAAACGTTTAAGTAATTTAACGACATCACAATAATATTGTCTACATAAACAAGTTGATACGATATTATTAATATATATATATAAACATATACTTTACCAGCTAAAGTGTGCAACGACGAAGCTATCAGTGTCTTCTGATCTTTGTAAAAATGTCCGCTGAAGGAGAATACAGTACCGGCTAGCATAAGGCAAAAGCTGATGCCGACTAATGGAACGCACCATCTAAAACACGCACAAAATTTTAAAAAATTAATTAGTAAGTGCCGCCAGATTAATATGCCTACAAACCGTTTTATAAAAATAAAAATATTTCTTTTAGGTATAATTATATTCAAAATATTATACGCGAATAACAGAGCACATAAGTATCGACAACGCGAAAAAAAAAAAGTTTCAACCAATATGAATATTAATGTACAACAAAAGTTCTGAAAATCGAAATTTTCCCACCGTTTGCTCTTTTAGTCAGCAAACTTTTTGTCTGGTATTATAAATATTTAAACTTCGAAGACTTTTATTCTGTGGCGTGCCATGTACATTTTATCCATGCTTTTTATCTCGGGTAATAATAGCTACACATTAAAATTGTTATTGCATATGACAAGTGTCAATTGGTTGGATCAAATACTATTGTTGGAAAATACTATTTATTCGATAAATTCAACTAGTTATATAATGTTTTTTTTTCATTGTATTCAATATATTAAGTATTAACTATTAGTATAACCATTGACAGAGGGTAATATTGTCAGAAGTCAAGACCTCGCCAATCACATAAAGTCTACCGCAACAAGTGAAGCAGGATCGCATTAAACTTTGCCATATACTTTCTTATTTATTGATTATTTTGTTACGGTTAAACACTTTAGTTTCTATTTTTAAGAATATCGTTTAACTACATAGATGTCTCTGTATCACTACAGAACTGTATACATGGAAGGCGAATAATGCATATTTTCCATATAAAAGTGACCCGCCTCGGAGGCCGCCATTTTGAATCCGTTTTCTTATTTTACTTACCGTATCTAACTATATTTAGTGATTTTCGATGATGGTTTCTGACTTGATATTGTTGGTATCATTTTTTTCAACCGGTGATAAAAGATAAAACGATGTTATCAGATTTGTATCATGGAATAAATGGTATGTTACACCGTTTTATCCATGACAGGACTCAAAATGGCGGAATCCGTGTGTTACAAATTTATTTTCACTATGTGCTTTCCATTTATATAGTTCAGTGCTCTATATACTGTCTCTATTAGCTAATATATTATATTATGTATTATTGTATAAGATTGGCTTAATAAAAAATCCTGAATTCATTGAAAGTCTTATTAGCAAACCGGAATACCGAATAAAGTATTGTGTTATATTACAGCTTATATGGTATAACTATAAGCGAAGCTTTTAACAATTTTAAACTTAAACATTTTTAAAAGTGCCAAATGTAATAACAACATATTTTCATTCAGTCAATTAAGTGTTTCGCCGACGATTCGGGCTAATCGAAATATTTAGCGTTAGACATTTTTTATAAGTTCTTTTTAAACTTCTACACAACGACACGATAATGTTATGTCGTTGGAATATTTAATTTGCACGAGTTTAAAAAAAAAACTTGTTTCTTTTTAAACGGCGCTAAAAGGAAAACTGTCGTAAAATTATATTAACAAACATTTTAACCCGATTTCGGACGATGCCGTTGCAATATTGCAGTAGTTTTTTTTATGACGTTTAATTTTTTTCCCAAGACTTTTACATTTTCTACATTTTTTTTAAGTATGACGTAAAAACGAAACGAAATTACGCTTTTCCTCGAATTTGTTTAATATTATTATTTCTTCAACTTTGATAATAATATGTGTCTATAGCGGCGCGGTTTCGGTATGAATATACATAGATACTTGTATACTCTGTCGCGGGTAACGAAATGAAAAATATCTTGAATACGTTAACCACCGGCGGCATTGCCGTACCCAATGTTCCGGATATATTAAATTATTTGACGGCGGTATACAATGGCCCTGCGAAGAGAATCGAGACCAACTGCAGACGAAACGGCGTACTCTGTATAATAATATGTTGATGAAAATTTATCAACGACATCACGTTCGCCCTGTGTACACATACGCACACATATTGCACACGGTGTAATGTCGACTGTGCACGTGAGCGGCCGGAATAACAAGGCTCGGCCGAAAGACGTTTGTGGAACGCCTAAGTATGCGGTTTTTTTTTTTTACTAAATTCGACAAAGACCGAGCTGGTAAAGCGAGAATAATGATAATAATAATAATAATAATATATCAGCTTTTTGCCGTTCAAAGCGTACAGTAAACAATATATATGGTCGGCCGTCCGTGCAATATTATCTGGCTTGACAAATAAATATCGAACGATCCCGTGCACGTCCGTACGCAATATTTCTCCGTTATCTCGTCGAGTACCACCTACCTACGACTTTTCTACTCCGGACGCGACATTTTCGCCTTGGGAATAAAAAAACACAATATCCTAAACTCATACACAATATACCGCGCACTGTACCACCGTCGTCGAACAGCCGTACCAGTATCGCGTGTAACACCCTCGGTAGAGTCGGATTTACTGCATCCAATAAAAAAATATACAACTCAGCGAGTTGGTGTAAAAATGTACCAGCCGCGTTAACAACACCGCTATGTGATTTAAATCTTGCACGCGATGAACTCAAACGACATCATGCCGCAATACAAACGTTAAGTCGGCCGTCGGAAAAACCCCAAATGAATATGTATGAGTCGCTCGTACGTGGCGTCTCGGAAGTTACCTACTTGCCCGGAGCAATGACGGCGAAATGTGTACTGCAGGCCTCCTGTCTATTGCTTACATCCTTTGTACTATATAACCGACATGGCATAGATCCGCACTACCCCTCGCCCGTCTCGACTGTAGAACAATTGGTGTAAGTGACTTTTACAAAATGAAAAATTTATTTCCAATATACACTTCGGTGTCTCTTTGAAAAACCAATCAGAAAACTTTTTTTTCGAAAATTCGGTTTAGGTATGTAGATGACATTTCAACAATAACGGATAAGATGTCTATGTTGATGTTTTTCTTGTGAGCGCTGACGTAATACGCTAAAGTGTATTATTTTTTGGAGTTCTTTTTAAAATATTTTATTATTTTTTATTCTTTACTAAGTCAGTCGTTAACCGCTTTTGGTCCATACTTCTTCCAATTTTTTTAACCGGACGGAGTAATTCCAACACATCTAAAAATATCTAAGTCAAAATCAAAACGAGTGCAGTACACAATATAATTTTTAACATTTTTTATTTAAATATTCCAACCATAAGAACGGATAAATAAACCTACACGAAAAACATTTTTTTTCTGTTAACGGATTTACAATGAATTTATGAAAATTAGATATTTTTTTCTGGAAAATTGATACTTTCGACTATGCACCGAAGACAAATTCATTATATTTCCGTGAATAATAACACCATACTAAGGTGGCAAATGTTAACTGTTAACATACACCGGTTTGTGCCGCTAATACGCATGGAAATATTGGAAATGCGGGTAGTCGCCTAAAATTCAAAACAAATAATAATAATTTGATAAATTACTGGTAAATGTCCGCAACTATTAGTCTAATTCGCTGGTGTATCTCGCCGTACTTCATGAATAATGCATGCAAACTACCATTAGTTACGCGTGACCGTGTACTAATAAATCATAATTTATTATTACTATATTTTGTATCAAGGTGCCATCAACTATAATGTGTTAAGTCCATTCTAATGCATATAATAATTGTACATTCGTGAACTTTACACCGCATTGAATGTTTTATTTGTTGTTTTGTGCGCCCGCTACTATAAACTTGTGTTTTATTTTATTTCAATTGAATATGTCGAATGTTCCAATGACATTTTACTTTTCTAAAAAACTATCCCGTCATGGTATTGGGTTTACTCTAAGTTCCAATCATGTAATTGAGCGTCAACATGTTTGCTGAAGTGCATTTTGCCTTGCAATACTCAGCAAATACGAAGATTCGTGATGGACGTAAGCAATCTCTTGATTTTATTTGGTAACCTCTTTTTTTTTTTATTATTATTATTCCGGTCAAATCACATAAAACATGAATACGACGATTTTCAGGATTTTGTTTTACCTCTCCGCATAGTCCGACGAAACAAATTACACGTTTCATATAGGTCTTAAGACTTCTCGTTGAAAAATATACTACTATTATTTACCCTACGCTTTTTATTTCGCAATTAAAAATGCCTTTCCAATGCCGTATTTAATCATTCCCTTTTTTTAGCTTCGACGAGTTGCGTTTATTTATTTTTGTTTAATGCCGTTAAGCAAAATAAATTAATGGTAAAATGTAATATAAATTTGATCGCACTTATTTTGTAAAAGGGACGCATACATACATGTAAACAACGATTTCAAACAAAGTAGAAATAAAGAAGTCGTATATATTAAATATAATATATTATAGCCGATCGTCATAAAATTATTACACGTATTTTTATATTTTAATTGAATCCCGAAAATTATATTTATTATGATCCAATTTAGGATAGTGTGCAAAACGTACAGTTTAAAAACCAACAGTATAGTGCAAAGGTGTAATGAGTACATCGAAAAATCAAGTAATAGAAACTTAATAGCCTTCTTATACACTGTGTAAAAATAATGGACGCCAATGATTCAAATATTTGCTGCTTAATCCCCCCTCGAGTTCACGATAAACATGAAACGACTAGCATCAGATGGTAAACCACTCCTGGTCATTTTTGAAAATCTTTAGTAGTCTCTAGGTAATTTCTAGAAATGTCTAATCCCCGTACTAGGGTGATTTTAAATAATCTTCAGAAACTTCTGATAATCTGGTACACAGAGTGTCTAAAAGAGAGTTTTAGCCTCTGATTAGCATTTCTAAAAATCATTTCCGTAAATTGATATAAATTCGATTAGGATATCTATGCACTAGGATGTCATCGATATTGTTGTTGGAATTTCTACGGTTTGTTAAGCCTAATTCGCATTTTATAGATTTAGTAAAAGACTATACTATCTTACTTTTGTATCCAACTCATTCTACTCTACTAAAATATATTTTGATAGACTATATACGGGTCGATTTAAGCGGGGACGATGGTTGGCAGGCATTCCCAGTAATTTGTACTGGAAGCGTCAATTATTTTTTTGCG